TGTATTAATGCTTTTCAATACTTTAACTTTTAATTTTTATTATTTTATTATTTTAAAAATATATAAAATATTAATCAAAATAAATATTAAATTATTAAATATACTTTATATATTTTTAAAATATTAAAAAAAATTAACAACTATAACTACATCCCATCACTTTCAAACCAGGCCTAATTCAAACCTAGGGAATAATAAAATTAATTAATAAAGTCACAAGGCAACATTTGAAAGTCACAGAAAAATGTCCAGCTTTTTATGGGGGTCCACAAAAACTCCAATTCTGTTAGTTTGGATGAAATAATATATGTCAGCAAACAAAAAAGGGGTAATTCACTAATTTGCCACAACCGAGTAGTTTAAGGGGGATTTTCCGGAAATAAAAAATTCAGGGGAAAATCTTCGACAAATTATGAGTTCGGGGGCCGGAAAGTACTTTTTGCCTTTTTAAAAGTTTTATGCGCAAGCCACTAAAGACGAGTTAGAGTTAGATCAAATGGTAAGCGACTTATTTCAGCTTAAATAAGATCTCAAGTTTAAGATCTTATGTATGCAGCAGCTCTCGTTGGGAGATTCACCCACTATTTTCAAGTGCGCAACGCAGATCGGGTCCGGATTAATTGAAGCGAAACTTTGGATACTGAGCAAGAAACCAAAAAAAGTTTTATGCGCGAGCAGCTCTTTGTGTGTACCGTATCCTATGGGGGATGCAGATTCTCCAGATTTTCTAGGAATGAATTTGGTAAAGAAACTTCCATTTAAAAAAAAAAAATGATTTGGTAAAGAAACATTCTCCATGGTTAGAAATCAAATCTTAAAAAGAGAACGGTCAAGGGCAGCTCTCTCTCGAAATCTTTTTTTAAGATTTTATCTAGAAATTTATTTTTTAAATGAAATTTTAAAAATTTTATTATTAAATTAAAATTTTTACTTATATAAATTATAAAAATTAGTGCATAATAATTTTGATTTTAAAAATAATTAAAATTTTAACTTATATCTAAAAATTAAAATATCACCTTATAAAATATTGATATATCTAAAATTTGAAACTATTATAAATTTTATTATAATCAATTTTTAAATTTAAATATTAACATTTAATAAAATAATTTTTTAAATTTTAAATTAAAATTTAATTAAATAAAATAACAT